AAACAAACAAGGCCAAGGCGGGCAGATCACCTGGGGTTAAGAGTTCAAGACCAGCCTGACCAACATGGTGAAACCCTGTGTCTACTAAAAACACAAAAAAATTAGCCAGGCACGGTTAGGCGCACACCTGTAATCCTAACTACTTGGGAGGCTGAGGCAGGAGAATCACTTGAACATGGGAAGCAGAGGTTTCAGGGAGCCAAGACTGTACCACTGCACTCCAGCCTGGGGGACAAGAACGAAAGTCCATCTAAAAAGAAACCCCACCAAGTCTGAGACTCCAGGGCAGAGACAAAGTATTGAGGTGCAGACCCCCACGTGCACTGCTGAGATCCCGAGGGAACGCCGCTTTGACAGAGTCTAGTGTGAAAGGGCCAGCTCCCAGGCCAGATGCCCAGGTTCAACTTCTGAAAGTCACTTACTAGCTGTACAACCTTAAGCAAGTTACCGAATTTTGAGTGTTTCCTCCTCTGTAAAATGGAAGTATTTTAATAAATGGACATCATATTACTGATCTCACTAGATTGTTGGAGACAGTCAGTGAAATAAGGCACATAAAATCCTGAGCAAAGTACCTGGCACGGAATAATCAGTCAATAGGCATTAGTTATTAATACCGTATATGCCTCTCTAAAATTCAAGACATTTCTGAGTGACTTCAAAAGGACTTGGTGAGGGGGAGAACAAAAATTCCCTACTTAGTACTTGAGATTTGTGAGGTACAAAGTAATTCTGAGGCTATACAGATGGGCCGGGCACGGTGGCTCATGCCTGTAATCGCAGCACTTTGGGAGGCCGAGGCAGGCGATCATCTGAGGTCAGGGGTTCAAGACCAGCCTGGCCAACATGGCGAAAGAAACCCCATCTCTACTAATAATACGAAAGTTAGCTGGGCGTGGTGGTGGGTGCCTCTAATTCCAGCTACTTGGGAGGCTGAGGCAGGAGTATGACTTGAACCTGGGAGGCAGAAGTTGGAGTGAGCTGAGATCGAGCTATTGCACTCCAGCGTAGGAGACAAGAGTAAAAACTCTGTCTCAAAAAAAAAAAAAAAAAAAAAAATTACAGCAACTGGCCAGGCACAGTGGCTCACAGCTGTAATCCCAGCACTTTGGGAGCCTGAGGGTGACTGAGACCAGGAAATTTGAGACCAGCCTGGACAACACGGTCAGCCCCACCATCTCTACAAAAACATTAAAAAAAGTTAGCCAGGCATGGTGGCACACGCCTGTAGTCCCAGCTACTCAGGAGGCTAAAGTGGGAGGACATCCTGAGGCTGGGACGTCAAGGGTGCAGTGAGCGGTGCTCGTGTTACTGCGCTCCAGCATGGGTGACAAAGGCCCTGTCTCAGAAGCAAGAGAGAAAGACAGCAACTGAATCATGGAATACGGGGTACATGGCAGAAAGAATTATCACAATACTTGTGAATTTTCCACACCCCATCCACAAACTTTGGCAATCTTCGCCTTCTGTCCTGGGCCAAGGAACTGAGCTCTTATCTGTTTTGAAAAGGTGGTGCTCAATATCAAGGTAAGTGCTGAAACAGAAAATCATTACGTTGAGGTGTGAAACAAAAGGCTGAAAAGTGAATTTCAATGAGTTTGCCATCATGTTACTATGTGGAATGCAAAACCTTAGATACCATGCAGGTGGCATCAAAGTAGAATAGAATCTGGTTTAGGGCAAACACATGTGCATCAATATTCCCATCTCATATTATAATACTATTAAGCTGGCCAGAGTGAGAAAGACCCGGGATAATTTGTGAATATAAAGACCCCATATTCATTTTTAAAAATTAGTATGTGATGGGCCAGGAGTGGTGGCTCATGCCTGTAATTCTAGTACTTTGGGGTAGGCAGTTCACCTGTGGTCAGAAGTTCGAGGCCTGCCTGGTCAACATGGTGAAACCCCGCCTTTACTTAAAAAAAAAAAAATACAAAAATTAGCCGGGCGTGGTGGCGCATGCCGGTAGTCCCAGCCACTCTGGAGGCTGAGGTGGGAGGATCGCTTGAGCCCAGGAGTTCTGGGCTGTAGTGCGCTATTCTGATCGCGTGTCTGCACTAAGTTCGGCATCAATTTGGTGACCTCCCGGGAGCACGGGACCACCAGATTGCCTAAGGAGGAGTGAACTGGCCTAGGTCGGAAACTGAGGTCGAAAAACTCCCATGCTGATCAGTAGTGGGATCGCGTCTGTGAATAGCCACTGCACTCCAGCCTGGGCAACACAGCGAAACCCCGTCTCAATAAAAACGACAACAAAAAAATACAAAAATTAGTCGGGCGTGGTGGTGCACGCCTGTAATCCCGGCTACTCGGGAGGCTGAGACAGGAGAATCGATTGAACCCAGGAGGCGGAGGCTGCAGTGAGCCAAGATTGTGCCACTGCACTCTGGCCTGGGCATCGGAACAAGACTCCGTCTCAGAAAAAAGTAAAATAAAAATTGGTATGTGTTAACCACAAAGAAACTGCCCATCCAGTTCTCTATTTCTGGCCAGAGCAAGTAAATCTAAATCAGAACTATCCTACAAGGGCAAGCGTAGAAAGGCTGGCTCAGGAGCTTCTAGATTCATAGCAGGCTAGTCCGGAGCTAGTCTCAGCTGGCCAAGAAGCTGCTCGGACTTGGCAACAGCGTGAAGGCACGAGAAGTCCGGCCGCTGTTCCGCAGACATACATATCTAACGGGATCTCAGAATGACTCTGCACCTCACAGTCTCCAGCACTGAGGACATGTATCTACTCCCTTAACCCTCCCAAACAACTCAATGTTACCGGCAAGACAGTCACCTCCCTGGGGTCCCCGGCAAGCAAACCCCGTGCAGACCATTCATGTCCTCTGCGCAGTCTGTTCCCAACAACCAGGAAGACCCAGCCCGCAGCCTCGGCTCACCGGGCAAGGTCACGCCCTGGAGTACACACGGACCCTGTTCAAGTCCAGGGAATATCAAGTTCCAGGTCCTTCCAGGGACGGGGCTGTTTCCATTGCCTCACTTCTGGTTTACTTTCTGGAATAAGATGTCTTTCCTCCACTAAACACTTTGAGAACCAGAGCCTGTAACAGCGGAGGACAGCCTACGGGACGCTTATGTCGCTCCGACACCGCCAGCATGCCCCGACACTGGGTCGGGCTGGTTCCTGAAGGCGTCTTCCGATAACCCAGGCACTTAGTTCACTCCCTTCGTCCTCCACCGGGGAAGAGGACGGTGGAAGTATTTTGGAAAAATGCCCAAGAAAGGAAAAAACGGACCGGCTTCCTGAGGGTGTCTCCATCCCTCCCGGCCAGTACGTGGTGACTTCCCACCCCAGGCCACCAGGGGAGCACGGCCAAACCCGGCAGGAAACGATTCCAGCCTAAAAGCCACTTGCAGGATTACCGGATTCATTCTGGGCACCGCTGCCAAGGGATGCCCCCGCAGTGCCAACAGTTCCCTCGGCTCTTTGTCCGCACGCTGCCCTGCGCTCCCTCCCCGAGCGCCGGGCCCGGGAGCCAGCCCCACCCTGGGCCGAAGCAGTTCCCCTTCCCCGGGCCGCCCTCCGCAGGCACACCCAGGGGCCTCGGCCCGCGGCTCCTCCTTCCCGGCTGCGCGCCGCTGTCCCCCAGCCCTCGGCCCGCGACCCCCGAGGGTCCGCTGGAGCAGCAGCCGGCCCGGCTGCCAGTTCCGCGGGCCTCACCACGCCCAGCCCCCCCGTCCCGTCCGTCCCGTCCGTCCCTCACCGGGCGGAGGCTGCGCGGGCGACGGCGGCACCGGCGGGCGCGGGCCGCTGCTGTTGATGATGTAGTGGGAGACGCGCGAGTTCTCGGACACGCTGAGCACATAGTCCCCGGGGCTGGTGCTCGAGTCCCGCACCAGGAACACCCCGTGCCGCTGGCCCTGCAGCAGCGCCACCGCCTCCTGCCGACTCAGACGCCCCCAGTACCAGCTACTCCGCTCCTCCGAGTCGAAGTTGCCCGCCATGGCTGCCTCCGCGCCTACACGCTGGGCTGCCGCCGCCGCGCGCGCCCCTCCTGCCCCCGGCGCCCGCCGCCCAGCGGACCGGCTCCGGTTTCAGCCTCACAGCAGCGCCCGAAATGGCGGCGGCAGCCGCGGGCCTTCCCCACCGGAAATGACGCGCTCCCTGCCCGGGGGAGGCTGCCGGGAAGGGGCCCGCCGCCCGCCATTGGGAGAAGGGCAAGGAGTCCTCGCGCGCGCACTGCGCATGCGGCCTCATGGGAGGTGCCGCCCGGCCGGGCCCGAGGCTGCGGAGGCCGGGAGGCGGGGTCTAGAGCGTGGGGGCGGGGCCTCACCGCCTCGCGCAGAGATGTGCGCCTGCGCCGCTGGCTGCCTTCCCCCGCCCCTCTCCCACCCCCCCGGACGGCCTGGGTCTTCTAGGCAGCGACTCCCAGACAGAACTAGAGAAAAGATGCATGTGGCCCCCTGAGTTTTCGGCCAGGCTTCCTGAGGTGTCGGTCTGTTTCTTT